AGAGAGAGAGAGAGAGAGAGAGCATGAGCCCAGGATTTAGTGACCCTCAAAAGCTTGATTCAGGGATTTGGCCCCAGATAACAATCTGAAAGATTTTCTTAGTTCACAACTGACTTTGAGACCAAATATATTTGGCCCTTCAGAGCATGCCTCACTGTAACCCACCCAAAAATTGGTCCATTTGAACACCCCATAGTGTGGTGGTTTACTGCTGCTTCAAGGAGACTCCTCTAGAGGCTAGCGGTCGGACCTGATTTTTCTTCTCGCAGACGGCGAGAAAAATCCTCTCTCAAACAACCATGGAGGGTCCACACGCGTTGCACGCGTGCTCTCCTACGTGTGCATAGGAACCAACAAAGAGAGAGAGATTTTACGACAGGGGTGCGTTTAAACGCTTACCTCGTCGTTTTGGGGTTCGGGACACACCCGGGCAGTCTGCCCTCTTAGAACAATTACGAAGCCCTCCGGCTATCTGCCAAAGCAGTTTGGACATGGACTCTCTTCAAGCTTTTTTCAGTTCGTTGCTTCGTTCTCTCATGTTGGAAACTGCAATATGGACTCGGTTGTACTCCTCTATACGGGTTCACTCGAACAAGGGCTGGTTGACAAAAAGAAGGGATAAGGGGGAAAGGTGATAAGGATTCCCTTATCTACGCAAACGTTATACGCTCAGGTGGTCAGAGCAATCGAAGGATTAGAACTCTCTTGACTTATCGGCTTAGGAAGACTCCTCCCGAATGACTGAGGGAGAGAGCATATGCGCCTCTCACAACTCAACTCGACTGTACGGAGATGAAGTTAAAGCGATGATCGGAAGGTTGGAATCCTTGGGTTGACTCTGAAAGGTATTAGGTCAAGCATATGTCGGGTAGCAGGGCGCTATACGGTACCGCAGGTTTGCTACGTCTACACTGGAGATGCGAGGGGGAGAAATGAGGCCGTGCGTTCTCCACTGGCATGGGTTACTGCGCAGTGTAAGTAACAAGTGAAGAGAGAGAAGAAAGAAAGAAAAGGGGGAGAGGGAATGGAGCCACGTGGCTAGCAAGGGCCAGGGGTAGTTTCTCTCTCTGAAAAGTTTTCTCTCTTGGTGCTAGATCCAAGGGTTAGGAGCAAAAAGACAAGTAGAAACGAGCTTAATGCCTCTATTTCATTAATGAATGATCCGGCTTTTTTATAATTGACCTAGGCTTATATTTATAGAGGATCCACAAAACAGGGGTGGATACTTGAAACTAAGCCTAATTACAATTAAAAGAAATTATAATAAAATCCTGATTTTAGGAATAAAGACCAAAATACCCCTTAAACCTTTTGTGCTAATGACAAAACCATCCCTCTCTGAGGGGCCTTTCGTCATTGCCAAATCTTCAAAGCGTTTTCGGATGGTGATGGCGGTGTTTGAGACGATCAATCATCGTAGTCTTGATGTTTGTTTGATCCTTAAAAGTTTGATGTCTTTTGATCATCTTGAGGTGGACTTTTTCCTGAGCGGTGGAAACCTGGCTAGATCGTGAACATTTTTGGCCGTCATTGCAACGCGATCTATGGTGTTTCGAGTCTTTATTTTGATTGCAAATTAAAGAAGAGACTTCCATAGACGTTTTGCACCAATTTTTATCTGTTTTAGTCTTTGTTTGAAGTACTTTCTGATTTCAGGAGTTTACCGAAAAAGGGATTCCAGCAAACAGGTGATCTTATTTTCTTCATCCTTGGAATTTATAATTTATCCGACCTTAGATTGAATGCAACAGTTCTACCAGTTTGTAGCCCTTCATGATACGGTCTCATCGGACTTGTTTTTATGATGATCCGATGTACAGATCTCGAGTTTATTGCTTCACAAAGTTCGAGAAGTCCTTTCTTAAAAAAAGCTCTGATTTCCATGGTTTCGAGCTCATCTTCGCTCTAGAAAAACCTTGATTCTGGGTCATGTCACAGCGCATGCCATATGTCATAATGACTAGGTCGTCGAGACCTATCTTGTGTCCGAATTTGAGCTCGTTCTGACTTCAATCGAATAACGTGTGGGTGTTTGGAGGTCATCCCGAGAGGTGAAGATCACGGCCTCCATGATTGGGGACTGGTTTTGTGAGGCCCCACCGCAATAGTATACGACTTTACTAGTTTGAGGTAATTTGGGCCCAGAATGGTCCTGGGAGGTCCAATTGACCCCAAAATTGGTCCCTAGGGGTTTTTCGACGTTCTGAATGCAATGACAGTGGTCTGGTACCGTTTTGAAGCCCTAGCTCAGGGTTGTAGTTGTAAGGTCTCTTTGTGGTGTGATGGTTCTTTTTCCAAGGTTGCCTAGTGTTAGGCTTATTCTGCAGTGTTCTTTTGGTCTGGCGGTATCTTGAGTACCAGCAGAACTAGGTTGTCACTGGCTCTCTTCTTATTTGCATCAGTGATGTAGGTACGTCAAAAATGACGTACAACAGTTAGATTGAAAGACTACCAATATTTTGTGAGATATTGACAACCTTATTCCAATTCCAACAGATCTGGCTCTAATTCTGAGATTTATCGGGAAACATTCCCGACTAGTTTAAATTCTAGGCCAATCAAAGGGGAGATTGCAATAGGCATTAGTCCCATAAACTCTCCAACTAGATATATTCATAATTTCCTATGATTCTAGGATCATAAAAAAGATAATGTCCAAGAAATTGTCAGTTTGGTATCTTTTTTAGGGTATATTTGACACCTTATCAATTTGATTTCCTTTTAT